GGGGCAAGGCGTAATGGGTTGTGTGGTATGTTGATCAAGGAGGTGCTGCATTGGCTGTAGCTGCAAGAGGTCTTGAGACAGAAATTATGCCATTATTGCTTCTTTCATTTAAAAGCTTGAGTCGGTTCTATCTAGCTAAGTTATTCAATAAAGTAGATCGAAGTGTGTGATGCTTGTGAGTTTGGCAACTACTATATACGATATTTATAACAATACTTGATACTTGATTTATGACTTCCTCTACCTAGACCCACACCTACTTTGAATTTCACTTAACGGAGCGGCGGATCCAATAAAAAGGGACTATATTCCAATCCTACTTACCAGAATAAATAGTTGTATGGCATTTGAACCCCACCTTCATGGTTGTATTCTAATTAGCTAGAAATGTATGACCTAAGCTTCTCAACAGGCATTCACTCAATAGAGCACTTAATGAGTTTTCATGGCTTGAAAGACTACTATGTTTCTTTTAAGCTTAGTTGCAAAAGAAAAGCAAAGGGGAATGCGGTCCATTTCGTAACGCTTACGATGATAAAGAAAAGTAACTCCCATCCGTGTGAGAGGCATCGCTACCGGTCGGGCCTTGATTCCTTTCCTTGTCTCCATTCTGATTGATTCGCTTCTTCGCGCAAGCACTTGGTTCGCCCCTTACTATAACCATCCCACTCAATCTTTTACACTGATGTTTCGTACTCTCTCGACCAGGTCATCATAAGAAAATACTGCCAAATCTTTCCGAAATGAGAGAAGGAGGGAAGGCGTGCTACAACTAACTGCTGAAAAACGCAAGATTAGCGCTAAGAAGCAACCCTAGTTTAAGTACTAGCGTCCCACCCCAACGTTCTTGTACTTCAAAATACTCTCCCCCGCTTGCTGCTCGCCTCAGCCAGACGTGGCTTATGTAGTGGTCGGCATTCCTATGTGCTCCGACTGATCCCGACTGGAGATTATATGAGGGGTCTTGGAAACTGTCGTGACGCTTTGGTGACGAAGGTCACCGGGGTGACTATGGAAGGATTCCGTGGTACTCTCTGACTCCCTCCAACTCAATCAATATCAAGAACATGTCGTGAGCATGGGGTTTGGTTAGGCTTGGTTGAGTTTGTAAGAAAAGATAGTAGGTTGAGGGGCTTCATTGATTAGTAAACCTACGGTGCTGGTAAGGTCGAGACCGTGGTCGTCCTTCTCCGCTTTGTCGGCCGATAAGATCACTGAGATTGACCAGCCAGTTGGGTAGGTTTGGCTATTCCTTTCTATTGAAAAGGAGTCAGCTGTCTGCGCGAGTCACCTTCCTTAGGCTCTGAGTCACCTTCTTCTAAGCTCCACTGGACGACACGGCATTCTCGTTCTATAGGCCGGTCATACTTGTGATGGTTCCCCAGGATCCAATAAATCCACTTAGGTCTACGTTGCCGCGATATTGTTCTATGGAAGCTGGTGGGCTGCTTTTTAGAAGTTCGGCCCGGTTTTTCATTAAAAAATCAAAAAGGGGGGAGGGATTGACCTTTCTAATGCATATTCTGTCGTATCGGCATGGCCCCACTGATTTGTTTTCGATCGGAGCATCAAGCAGCGCAACCCGGTTCTACTTGACTAAGCACTGTGCTCGTCCAAGGAGGGAGTTTGCTTTACCCAACTCCCCCTTTTGATAACAAGGCAAAAACCTCCGACCCGACATTCATGAGTTTCGAATGAAGAATGAAGAGTGCCCTGCCCTTCTTTTTCCCCCTAAATCTTGGATTTGGAAGTTGGTAAAGACCCACCCCTTGTTTAAGTCAGAATGAGTCCCCAAGACATTGGCTTCCGCCAACAGTGAACTATTAAGGATCGCATCCCGCGCATATTCTACATTATAGCCTGCAACTAATTCAGCTTCCGCTTCTGGGAGATTAGACGGAGCTCGATTAGTTTCTGCTAGACGAGGAATAAGGAACATAACCAATACGGGGAACAAGGGAATATCGGACCATATCTGCTTTTGCGCCATGATAATCTCACTCGAATTACAGGGACCTACACATATTAGTACGGTATACCGGGGTCCCCGGCCAGAACCACACGTGCAAGTTTCCCTGCATGTGGCTCGTCCGTGCTTTTATCCGAGGCGTTGTCTGCGACTCTGCATGGGAGAAGAGGGATGAACTGCAAACTTTCGTGTTCAGAGCATTTCCATCCGCTTCGTTGTCGGTGGCGGACGGCAAAGAGCTTTGCCATCCGCTTTTGGTGTCTTTGCTGTCTGCCGTGGCAGACGGCAAATAAGTTGATTCCTGTAGTGGTGTCTTAATTGCTGAAATAGTTCATGATCAAAATTTTCACATAACAATACAAACTTGCATAGATATCATCATCATCAATGTAACTGAGCTGAATAGACTCAACTATAAGGGAAATGACAAAAGAAATGAGGAAGGAGATTATTATGTAAAAATGACACTTAATTTCTAGCATAATACCATCTCTGTATAGGGTCGTTCCAAATAAATTTTGGACGTGAGCGACATAAAAAATATTTTTTTTAATACTGAACTTTTATAGTTTTTAAATTATTTGCACCATGTTATAGTTTTAATGAGTATACTTTTCTATTACTTATTACCGGAGTTAACCACATTAATATGTTGCTAAATTATATGTTTATTGTTCTTAATTATACAGTTGTAATGTATATCACAAAAAACTTTGATTCTACAAAATATAATTTGTATGATGTAACACAAATTCTATTTGAATTAATTTTTAAAAATTGCACCGATTGTATAATGTATGTACATATATCTACGCCTATGTGTGTGTGTTCTGATATATTTTAATATAACTAAATATCATGGTAGGATATGTAAATCATACACTCTAAAAATATCTTAACAATGCTTTCTAGTAGACAAATTATCTCTTTCGAGTTGGGTACATCAATAAGTGTTCAACATCTGCATTATTTTTTCTGCTAGTTAATGTAATAACATTGTTGTATTTCTTGAAGAACATATTTTACTTTTGCACGCATACAATATGATTATTTAATATTGTTTTTTTATGACCAACAAGTGTAGGGGGCTCAAAAGTCTTTGTTAGAAAGTATCACAACATAGATTTATATTTGACATAAGGGGAGCCAAAGAATACTTATAAACTTTAGCATTTGCATTGTCAATTCAACCACTTTTGGAAACAAAATAGTTGCTCCAAAGAATTTACTATCAGTAGTCAATGTGATGAAGTGATTGTTGTTTGATTGCAGCAATAGTAACAAAAGTAGTAATACTCGTTAGTTGCCAAGTAAAAAGCATCTTTCCAGATAGACTACGGAAAATGTATGGATGGGATGGATAAATGGGTCATCCAAAAACCGGGTGTTTTCTAACCTTTTCCATTCGGGTCATGCTAGGCGTTACGGATCATCCGCCTCTCCAGCCCTTTGATCAAAACTCGTAACCGTTCGATGTGCATGCGTCATCTCGTCCTTCTCACATATTCGCAATCCCATCGCACCACTTGAACATTCACAACAGAGCAGCGCCCCTGACCGGCGACTCCTTCCCTTGCAGCAGCATACATCACAACAACATCTCTGACCCCTTCCCTTGCAGCTGGCACATTACAACAGCGTCGCCGACCCCT